TCCTTTTAGGGAACGCAATCATTAAATTGTATTTTTAATTAATTAGCGTTTTAAATATTATGATAGAAATTTTTTGATAAATGAAAAAATTATATTTAATAAAATATATATAAAGCCCTGCATCTTAATAATTTTTTAAAATCCGAAATCACACTTTACAACGGGTAAAAAAATATATTAAAGAAAAAAAATTATTGAACTGAGAAATAAAAATGTGATTTTTATCAAGGAAAGTGAAAAAATTTGAAAAGTGCTAAAAAGTAGTGTTGCTAAACGGCTCGATTTAAGCCGATTTTTACAAACGGCTAATAGTGCGCACAAATTGAGCGTTTCAAACGCTGCGTTACAAACGCAACATTTTAAATAAGTTCTTAAAAATAGGATTTGTCTTTTGAAAATTATATTATCGTCTGCGTTTTTATTTCTTTAATTTCTAAATATTCCTTTTTAGGATATAAGTAAGATATTTATACTACATTTTATATAATATTACACAGCGAATAATAATAAAAAGTAATGAAAAAGCAAACCTATTTGCGTTTTTTTAAATGGTTGCTAACGCCAAACTCTAATTTTACCAACTTGTACGAGGTCATTTGAAATGCATTATTTGCGCTTGAAACGCAACGTTTGAAACGCTCAATTTGTGCGCACTATAACTCAATATTTTAACCAGAAAAATATTGTATAAGCCTCGAGATTTTGTTGATTGATGTTCATTCAAACTTTTGTGCCACCTATGAGTAAAATATTAAGCCTTGCATAATATTTTTCCTAATAAAATATTGAGTTAGCCATTTTTAAAAAATCGGCTCAAAATGAGCCGTTTAACAACACTACTAAAAAGAGGAAAATAATAAATTTGATAATTTTTTTTCATATCAAATCAAAATTTTACCGAGCCTCTGTTCAGTTGAGCTTATGAAAATTAGACATCTGCAGTGATTTCCATACCTGGGTTCAAAAATTCGAGCTAGGGAGGGCCGTTATAAATTTACATTATATTAACTAATCCTTTTGTGAAAATCATATGAGAAAGAATTTAACATTCATTTACTGTTCATATTTTCAATTTTCCTTATTAAAATAATTTTTAAAAATACAGCCAATGGCTGAAAAACCGCCAAAAAAATAAAAATCTGAGTTATGTCAAAGAGTTTTCAAAATAAAAAGTGATCTCGGACCGGGTTTGAAAATAAGTAATATAATGAAAAAAATCTATATAAAAATTAATAATATAAGAAATAATTTAAAGTTCATATGGACCATCTGAAACTCAGAGTGTAAAAAATCTTTAGAGATCAATCTTTGAAGATTTTTTTTATTTTAAAGAGCATTTCAAACTCCTGTTTATCGTCATTTTTATGATACAAGAACAATGTTGTAGCAAATTTATATCAATAATTGTATGAAAGTCCAAAAAAAAACTTAATATTTTTTCTTTATGAAAACTATAAAATAAGATTTTTTTATTTATTTCCCCTTCTTTATTTCAATTTTTTTTAAAAAATCAAATTGTGAAAAATCAATTTAATTCAAAATAAAATTATTATTATAAAAAAAATTATTATAAGCCTTGGACGTTAAGAGGAAGGGGAACTATATCGAAAAATAAAATATAGTAGAAAAGGGATTCAAAATACTGTGATCCAATTTCAATACAAACAAAACGTATTTAATTTATGTATTTTCATCATGTATGATCGATTCTAGGTTAGAATTATTATTTTTTTTAATATAAAAGACCTGATGGATTTTATTTGACTGTTCATTTTTGGTTTCGAAAAATTACAATAAACTTTATGCTGAGAGTCAGTTTTGACACTTAGGACACGAATGCGAAAATAGCCACTATTTCTAAAATGAAAATGTAATATTTTTAAAGGTGATTCTAATTTTATTGTAAATATGGAGATATAAACAAAATTGATTGACTAAAGTGGAAGGTATGTGAGAAAAAAAAACGGGGAAGAATATAATATATAGGGAAATATAATAATAATTATTTTAGAAGGAGTCAGTATATGCCATGTCAGTATATTTTATTACTAATAACTCCCGCTCAGTTCGGTTGGCCCTTGCAGGATTCAAATTGTAGAAGTAGAACTAAGGTATCTCTCTTTTATTGCGCATCATCGATATCAGATTCGAAAGTCATTAACCAATATAATAAAGAGGATAAAAGGGTAGTATTACCCTCCCCCACATACACAATCCTTTACACAAATTTTGAACATTGTTTTCAGATTCATCAATAAAAAATAAAAATCACAAACCCACAGACCCAGTGGTAAAATAATGAAATCTGGACTAGGATTTTAAAAAAATTTGCAACCACGGGCCTATCATAGATATAAAATTCGGGCCAATTAGTATATTTTTTTTTTTTGAAAAAATAAAAATAAATCAGTTATTACATCTTTAAAATATAGGTAAAAAAATTTCTGAAACGGCTGTTATGTTTTTATAACCCCGTCATGCCTAATGAAATTAGCAATAAATTTAGCCAAACTTGAGAAACTAATGTAATGGAAGCAAATTAGTTAATAGTGTGTTCGGTCACGTACATTGATAACTTTATCTCCTAAATTCGGCGAGAAAATTCTTGCTAATTTTATTGAAGAACCAGCCCCTTCTAGACCCCAACCCCATTGTCCATATTAACTCCTTACCAACCCACCTAAAGAAATAAGAAAAACAAAATTCACAAATAAAAACGAAATACACAAAATTACCTCTTTCCTCATATTCACACCCACTCCCACCCTTCTTCTTAATTTTTAAATTAAATAATATAAGTCATGTCATGAGCTATATCTTCGTTCTTCATAATCTTCATGCATTCATTTCTGAGTTCCAAACGTCGGCCCTCAGATCTTGGATATAAAATATTTTGCAATTCAAAGTAATTTTTAGTTATAATATAAAATTTATGCTTGTGGTGAGGATAGACGAAATTGACCATTTCGCTTAGTTACACGAATATTCAAAGTATTATATTCCTTGTCATCATTTCTGCTTGAACTGCATCACGGGTATTCTGGTATTTACATTAATTTGGGTGCCGTCTATCTCATATGTAGTGGGTTGGACCAGAGATTGGGGCATCATCGGCAGACGAATATGACGTGAACATGTTGACTACATAATTGTAGCCTAGACGTGAAGGTTGCTTCTATCATGGAAATTCAATGCAGTTGCGAGTTAGAATTTAAAACAATAAAAGAGTCATATGACAATAATCTTTGGTTAGTTTAGAGGTTTAGATTAGGAACACGCTTAATGTAAACTATTTTATGGTTAAAAGTTTGCATAAGAATTCAAATTTTAGAGGTTAAAGTTCTATCCGGTTTAAAATAAATTTAAAAACAGATTAAATAATGCATCTTAGATACATACAGATACAATTATCTTATTAAAAATATCAAAAAGATAAGGTATTAGATATAAGATACTTTTGTCTAAAAATCGATGAAGAGGTCAAGATAAACCTGTGTAGAAAATCAATATCATGGCTATCCAATCCTATTAACCAATATTAAGAGTCAAAATTGATAGATGTATAAACAACAGAAATGCATAGAGAAAAACTATATGCTTAATATAGATTGTTTCAGCGAGTTGAAAGATAAACTCCAAACAAATAACATCAATTTCTATGGTTTATTCTTACAGAGAAGCTATATCAATTCAAATTCTTTAAATTTCAAAATCATCTTCTAAAATGCTAATAAACACATGATATTTCTGCGACTATAATAAAATATTCTTACAAGCATCATTCATTTTAAACAAATTTAAATAAAAAAAATATATTACTAATTTTATACCAAGCACACTGTACCCGAAAAGCAATAAAAAATCGAAAGCGAAATATAAATAAATATATTTTATTCCACCCTATAAAATAGGATGGCGATTGTTTTGTTTTAATACAATAGATAAATAATAATGAATATTAATTTAAGATATGAAGATAGGAAAAAAAATACAACAAAATTAATGCAAGAAAACCCTGAAAAATAAATGAATATAGAATTTTTCAATCAAAAATATTTTAAAAACAATCTGTATCTTTTGTCAAGAGCAATATATCTTTGAAAATAAAGTATCAGATGTAAAAATAATCTTCTTGAAAATGTCAAAAAGATAGAGACAATAAAAATCTTAGATTTCGCGGTAACTGTCCAATTCTGAAGAATCACGTTCTTCATCGCATTATTTAAAAATAGAATATAAAAATATTTTCTAACTTCCCTGAACAACTTTAAAAAGATCATTTACGAGGTTTTGCAGTGTGACCTACTATAATAATATAATTTAATATGAAGCAATATTATCCAAAATTTTACAATTGTAAATCTTATCCTTATCATCCTGGCGCATTCTGAGATAATTTAAAACCTACATGTGTAATATTTATGCAACATATTATGGTAAAATATATATAAGTAATTTGTAATAAATGAGTTAATTAGGCAATATTAAGAATAACTTTATAATAAATATACTTTAAAAATGAATTAAATTCACTTTTAAAATGTAAAAGAAACAAAATTTTGGCGGCTCCTAAAAGTCTTATTTTTGAGGCTATCTTTTTGCATAGGCCTGGCAAATACAAGGTATTAAGAATTTCCAAATTTAAATAACTTCATTATAATCTATTTAAAATATTTGTATACGTATATCTTATTTTACAAATTACAAAATGAATAAATTAGTATATAAATCAATATATTAATTTTTACAAAAAAAAACACATTTAAAAATTAAATGTCACTATACATATTTAATTATAATAAAATATTAATCATGAAACTTAAAATCTAAGCATCTAACATTCATTTTTTTTAAAAAAATATAAAAAATAAGATCATTTAATTAAAAAATAATAAATATATATTATATATTTTAAAAAAAATTACGCGAGTCGCTTAAATGCTGCTAAAAAAAAATCCGACATTCTATTGCCAAAAATTATTTTACAAAATATTGCAATTTGGAATAATAAATATTAAATTATATTCTTAAAAAAAAATATGTCATAATAAATAATATAAATCTCTAAAAAAAATACGGACGTTTGACAATTTAAGAAATAATTTTTTATTAAAAAAAAAGCGAAATAAATAAAATATCTCAATAAATTAAAAAAATGATTTTCGAAGTTTCTCAGTTTATATAATAAACCAAACTACCAGTTACAAAACATTAATTTAAACGTTAACCCAAATTCCGAAATTGTAAATTCAATATTTTTAAATAATGGCATGAGTCTTCCTTAATTTTTAAAGATTGCCGAAGACAACTGATAATAAATACATCAGTTTAAAAAGGTACATATTGAGCCTACCTTAATTTTTAAAGATTGCCGAACACAGCTGATAATATACATTTTTTTTAAAAATTGAAAGTTATAGACTACGAAATAAATACCTCATATTCACATAATTTTGAGCGATAAGTATGTACACTAGTGATCTTCACCGGGCCTATTTTTTAAAGCCCGGCCAGATCCGGCCCGATTCCGAACGAATTTTCTTTACTTTCCCCGAAAGGCCGTGATTTGCAAATCCCCCAATGTACACTATCATTAAATTTAAACGGTATTCATTAAGAAGCATTCAAATATAATATAACATTTACATCCATAGGAAAAGTTACGTTTAAAAAAAAATATGTACAATTGTATTCCTCATTTTTAAAATAGAATGAGATTTAACTTAAATAACAAAGAGAGAATGTGGCACAACTATAATTTTTTAAAAAACAAACAGAAACATTAGAAATATTTTAGGAAAAAGCAAACACTGATATAATTTATACTATTTTAACATTATTAGAAGAATTTGACTATTTAAAAAAAAATATTTTGTCCAAAAACACTTAACTTTTAATAAAAAATTTTGTTGTCTAATTTTGTGGGTAAAAAAAAATTTCCTGACAATGTTTTATGAGATTTTCTACGACCCTGCCTTCCAATTTAACGGCCGAATACGAGTCCTTCATAAATTTTTCATTAGAAATTAGGTTGGTAGCCTTGTCGTTAACTCTAACATTGTTTTTACTGACTTCGGCGCTGTTCGAGATTCCTACGGTTTGAACGAGCAAGGAGGGCGTAATGGTAGGATCGCCGTTTTTTAGAATATTCGGCGCGAAAACCATGGCTAGGTTACTGCAACTCATTAAATTTTCGGATTGATGGTCGGACACTCTAAAAATGAGGAAAAGAAGCATGGGGGAAAAAAATTAATTAAAAAATTTCATTTTTCCTTCTTACAAAATCTTTCTTAAGGGGCATTTGTAGGTTAACTCTCAAAACTTAACGGGCTAGTATTTTCTACTTCCTTCCCTTCTTTCTTGGAAAAGAAGATACTATTGGAGCGGGCAAGTTGAAAGTGATGGCCTTAAATATAGGTGACAAAGAAGCAAGGAAAAAAAATGTTGATAATGATAAAAACCCCGATAGTTAGAAAATCAAACCTTTTCAAATGATTTATTAAGTATTTGAGGGTGTTGTAATGAGGCGACGGTAACTTTTGAGTCGCTTTACGTAAGGCCAATACTGCTTCGTCAATGTTCTCGATATCTATTGAAATAATTATTTTTTTCGATAATAAATATTAGGTTTTTATTATTAAAAGTTCTCGGATTTAAATTCCCCCTCCCTCCCATTTTCAATCCCGGTCTAGTTTTTTTGAAGAAAAGACTATTAATTGCCTGGCCAGGCACGATCCAGATTTATAAAATTTGGTCATTTTTTTTGAATAATTCAGGATATATGAATGATTTTGATATATGTATTGGGAAAAATAATCTCAGAACAGATTTTCTGAAAGGGGTCTGAACCCGCCTCGGGTCCATAATAACTCGGTTTCGATGGATTGCGCCCATAAATTGGTATCCGTTTGGTCTGCGGTTTCAGCATGTTCAAATCAAATCATCTTAGAAACCATAATTTTTATAATTTTCAGAAGAACGAAAAATTCTTTCCCCCTTTTAAATAAAATTAGCCGGTAAATCTCTATCAACCTCGGCCAGTTCGGCTCCTAGCTAAAGATCACTCTCTCTAGCCAATCGCTTAACTAGGAAAGGAGAATGCAGCCAAAATCCAAATTCGTATTTTTTAAAAAAATTAAAATATTGCTTTATTTGAATAATTAATTTTGTTACAAATACATTATTAAAACATAACAAAAAAGACCTCGACCCAAAATTTGGGTCGTTTTTTTTCGAAAAGTAATTGTCGTATTTTTATGTATATTAATATTATGTAATGCCAATCAACCGATTTAAATAAGGTTGATAGATAATAATTAAATTTGAATAACAGGTGACGTTTTTATATATATATATATTTTTTAAAACAAATTCGTAAAGAACGCCAAAGTTTTGATGATTATTTTATTAAAATTTTTGATGAATATTCTTAGATTCTTAAAAATTATGAAAATTCGAAATACATTTATATATTTAAAAATTATTGAAGTAATTTATTAATAAATAGATTGTAAATTTTTGTTGGAAATAAAGACCTCTCTTGGCCAAAAGTTTGTGTATTGCAGAGTAAGTATAAAGGGTGGGTAAGTAAGGGTTGTTACAGTAATATTTAAATAAATAACAATTTTTGTAAACTCAATGTATCCAAAAACAGGTTGTAGGTGTCGAAGGTGATTAGAGGAATTGGTAAAAGCCTCAGATACAATTTTAAGACGCTGGCTACCACGTTAATGTCCTTGAATAATTCGTGAGGATAATTTTCGTCACGTATTTCCCCTGTTCGTTTGATCCGTCAATAACAACAAAAAAAAAGAAGAGATAATATTGCAAATTTTATTTCTGATTTAGCATTTTACTCAATACTCGTATGCTTTCCTAATCTATTGATTTCTAACGATTCTTATTTACATTCTAGTGGTATTTTTTTTTAAAAAATGCTGTTATAATGTATCTAACTCCTTCTTTCCTTGCCTTGCTAATTTATAAAAATTTTTAATGATATAATTTTGCCTTTATTATTGACAATAAATTTTTTATATCATCATCTTGATTTATATTAGAGATATTAACAGGTATCAAATAGAAATTTTCTTCATTAAAAGATATTATAAAGTTGGCAGGCTATTTAATCGCTAGCGAATATATTAATATCTTGCTTACTAGTGTTGTTAAAAAAATTAGATTTAGCCTATTTTTAAAAAAAAGAAGGCTAAACTAAGAATTTAGCAAAAAATATTACTTAATCCTAGAGATTTTACCAAAATATGAGAACCATTTTTTTAAACTAAATTATACTAATTCGATCTGTTTTTTAAAAAAATAAGCATTTTATTTTCTTACCGTTGTCAAATTTCTGCCTAAGTGTTTCAACATCTTCTGAATACCCAGGAATCCTATATAATCCTTCGGAATGCATGCCTTTTAGAATAAATTAATTTTTATTATTAAAAAAAATAGCTCTTTAAATATATATTATAAAAATTATAAATATAATTTTTTTTTTTTAATAAAAACAAGTAAATTTTTATAAACTCGAAAATTATAATATAAAAGATTAAATTTCACATAATCGCACAATTTAAAAATAAAAAAATATATATATTAAAAAAGCATAACATATATTAATATGCAAAATAATCATCTTGCGGGATGAGGCTACCCATGAAGCTAATGTTATTAGCCTTATGAATAGCTATGACGAGCCTTTATCTAAAGAAAAAGCCTTCAGGAGGTCAGTAGGTTTACGAATATGAGAGCCAAGTTACTTGGAAAATGGATATAACGAGATTCCCATAGTTTGTTGAGAATGTAGAAATTATATGAATGAATATGTGTTTTTGTAAAATATCTCAATATTTTGCTATTTTTTTTGTTTCTCAAGGATGTTTAGTGCTTGATTGGAAGGAGCCAATGGATCAATGCACGAGTAATCCCAGAACAGGAATTGACTTGGCTTCCAAGGAATTTGAGAAATCCCATATAGATGTTTCTCATTAGATCTGAAAGGATTTGGAGGTTCAAGAATAGATGGAATTTGAGCTGATCTTACAGCTAAAAGGATAATCGAATAAATAAAGTATGCCTAACAATTAGATCATCACAAGAATGACAATGAAGGCTATGTCTTCCATTATCCTCGACGGCAGAAATGCAGCCAGAATAAATATGGAGTTGGGTTACTAAGCAGTTTAAACGAATATCAATGGCGTGAGTGAGCTCATTTTAGTTTAGTTGTAATTGTAAATTGACTGATAGCTTCAAGGAACTCATGACCAGATTCATTAGGCAGCGTGGTAATTGCATTCCTGAAATAAGTTTCAACGCATCTTGGAATTATGGTCCTTCTGCCTATTAGTAATAATTCATAATTTCCAATTGGAAGGGTCAGGTTTTATAAAATGGGAATTTACAATATTTTCATTATTCATCTGGAAATAAAGGCAGTTACAAGATAGGAAGGAGAGCTTGAGTCCAAGATATTTCATTGGAATTTGGAACCCGAAAATACTTTAATTAAATTTTTAAAGGGACAAAAATTTTAACAAAAATGGTGTAATAATATCTTTTTTTAAAAAAATCACCTTTTTGTAGAATTTGGTTAATAATAATCACGTGAGTTTAAAGGTAGTATATAAGAGGAATTTACCATTTTTTTCGATTAGGTTACAACATATGCTTAGAATCAATGGAGGTTTGACGTCGCCTTCATAGCTCCTTGTATTTGCGTCATCCGTGATAATTGAATCATTGCAACTTTTTCCGTTTATAGCTATGTTTTTGCCATTTTTAGATGACTGTTCCCGATTATCATCTCGTATTTTGCCCTTGTTTTGTTTCCTATTTTTTTTTTAAATTTATATTTATTTATTTTAACATGTCATAAAATTTATTATTACAAATGTCATATCCACCGTTAGAAGGTGTCAGGTATCATTCCTTATATTACACTTTAAAGCGAAGGAATTAAAAATTTATAATCAGAGTTTGAAAATAAAATCTTCAACAAATTTAAAATATTTTATACGTGAAAATTACAAAAACATAATAGATTTTGGCATTTTTAGGTAAAATTTTTTTGAAAAATTCCCTGTTTTTCTAAGATTTTTACAAGCTCTGTGTATAATACAAATTTTTTTTTAAATATTCACCAAATCAAGGGAATGAAAGGGAGGGGGGTCAAACTTTTTAAAAAAATTAGAAATTGTCTATAAGGGACAAAATTTTTTTGTCTATCCTATCTGAGTGAACCTTTAATATTGAGATTGTCAATTTTGCAAATCAGATTGGCCTTCATCTCTGTTGGTGAGTGTTTTCTATTATTTAAGACATGCTGTGACATATTGTATTCATGAAGATGAGGAGTCTTAATCGAAGCAGCATCCTTGATTTGCTAGGTAAGGGATTTATGTGAATTTTTGTCAGGCACTCTGAAGGTATTATAACCATAGAATAGGAATTTTAGCCATTCATGCTCATTGCTAAAGCGATTAAGACTCCTCATCTTCATGAATACAAAATGTCAACACCAATAGAGATGAAGGCCAATCTGATTTGCTAGAAAATTGACAATCTCAATATTAAAGGTGAACTTAGATTGGTGTCCACACATGACTCTCTGACTGAGCCTTCCATGTCCACTTATATAAAATTATGTCAAAAACACTCGACAGCTAACATTATCCCAATTTTCCCTCAACCTCACTCAACTTGTGCTTCTCTTTTTACTTCAGAAGAAGGGAGGAAAGCTATTATGGTCTTGATGGCATACGCCCCATTTTTCAGGACATCACTTCCCCCTCTACATGCTCACAAACATCCATTCTTTCTAAATTAACAAACTTCTGCAACAAAATTTTAAACGATGAAGTTCCAAATTTTGTTTCTCCTATCCTTTTTGGTGCTAGGCTAATCGCACTTCAAAAGCCCAATAATGATATCAGACCAATAGCCATCGGTTCTACCTTTCGTCGTTTAGTCGCCAAGATGATATCATCTCGAATTATGCTTCACGTCTCTTAAGCCCCTTCCAACTTGATGTTGGGATCCCCGGTGGCTGTGAAGAGGTGGTACATATGACTAGATTATATCTTGAAAATCTACCCTCGAATGAATCCTTAATTAAAATAGACTTCTCTAATTACAATACAACTCCTTCCTAGTTCCTTTTTTCCCAGTTATACAAAGTTCTCTTATTCTTGTTATCAGCAGCCTTCCACCCTTCAATTTGATACCTTTAAAATTCCTTCCATAGGGCATTTAACAGGGACACCTTCTAGGTTACCTATTTTTCTGTTTAGGTATTAATGACATCATTAAATCCATTAATACAATCTGCTCATTATCCTTACATGCTTAGTATATTGATGATGCTATCCTTGGAGGTTCCAATGATGAGGTCAATAAAAACGTGAATATTATCAAGGAGGCTGGATCTGCTATTGGACTCTCCATCAATCCTGAGATATCTGAATTTATTCCTATCAATTCTATCGAACCTAATTCAAATAAATTCAAACTAAATACCCTTGATGGACTTAATCATTTAGGTGCACCTGTTGGTGGTAACTCTGCCATATCTTCCTTCCTTCAGTCCACACTTGAAACACTTTTTGAGTTGGCTGATTTATTTTTCCTACTTTCCTCCCATAAAGCCTTTTTCCTCGTGAAATTTTTTTTTCCCCGTATTCTTTATGCATTTCGTTCAACCGCCATTTTTAAATTCTCCATTCCTCTTGAAGTTTATGAAAATGGGATTAAAACCCTTATAGAAAAAATTCTAAACCTTAAATTCGATGAAATTGCATGGACACAAGCCTCTTTACCCACCAAGATGGGAGGTCTTGGTTTCAGATCTCCGTCCGATCTCGCCTTAACAGCCTTTATATCCAGTTGTTTTTAACAAAAAATAATAGTAAATTCTCTTTCATTAAAACCCAATGCTTCTTATAATGATGCATTCATCGAATGGAAGCCACGAATTATGCTGATCACCCTCTTCCTGAATCGAATAATCAGAAGGACTGGGATAGGCCTATTATTGCATTCTGCGTTGAATCACTCCTTTCCAGAATGCAATTATCTGACAGTCCTTTATTCTCCTCACTGCTTAATGGTTCAGGCCATGCCTTGAAGCTATTTCTTCTGTTAATTTGCAATTATAACGGAACCAAATCGAGCTCACTCACGCGATCGGCATTCGGTTTAATTGTCTAACTATCCAACCCCACACATGTTCGGTTGCAGTTCTGCCGTTTTGGATAATAGTAGACATAGTCTTCACTGTCGTTCGTGTAAAGGTCGTATCGTTAGACAAATCAATGCAATTCAATCATTCTAAGAGCTTTAAGATCTGCTAATATCCCCTCTATTCTTGAACCTTCCGGTCTTTTCAGGTTTGATGGGAAACGGCCTATCGGCATTCGGTTTAATTGTCTAACTATCCAACCCCACACATGTTCGGTTGCAGTTCTGCCGTTTTGGATAATAATAGACATAGTCTTCACTGTCGTAGGTCGTATCGTTAGACATAATCAATGCAATTCAATCATTCTAAGAGCTTTAAGATCTGCTAATATCCCCTCTATTCTTGAACCTTCCGGTCTTTTCAGGTTTGATGGAAAACGGCCTAACGGAATTTCTCAAATTCCTTGGAACGCGGTCAATTCTTAGTCTGGGATTACTCGTGTATTGATCCACTAGCACCATTCAACCAAACATTTAATATTCTTGAGAAAAAGGAGTCACTTAAAATAGCGAAATATTCTGAAATTTCTCAAGAATACATTTTCATTCCCATTTCCATAACCCTACAACTTTTTGGAAATGTGCCTTATCTTTTTTCAAGGAACTTGGCTCTCACATTCGCCAACAAACGGGTGAACCTTGCGAAGACTTCTTCTTAAGACAAAGACTCGCCATAGCGATACACAAGGCAAATTATATTAGCTTCATTCCACAAGATGATTTGTTTTAACCTCAATACTTTTTGTGACCGCCCCCCCCCTCTCTTTTTGTTTTTTTCTCCTTATTACTAATATATGTATTTGTTTATTATTATATATTATATTAAAATAAATAATAAATTAAATTTTTAAATATTTTACTTATCTAAATATTATTTTACAAACAAAAAAATATATAAAATAAATATTTTTTAAAAAATATATATAAGGTTGCATTCTTTTTAAATAAATTGGGGGGAGGGGATTAAACGGGGAAGCAAACGCCTCTGCTCCTCCCCCTCCCTCATAGTTATGTCAGATGTTTTATGAATAAATATTTTAAAAAAAATACTTTTTAGCATTTTTGGCGGTCCCCGACGTGCCTCCTTTAATAGAGGCATCGAAACTGTGATTCAAATGGGCTGAAAGGTCCACGCCGAAAACTCTATTTTTGACCCACAAGCACGTCTTAAGGTCGCAAGTATGAGTAGAAGAAGAATCGTCGCATTGCTTAGCGCATTTGGAGTGAGCAGCTAAGCCGCAGTCCCTGCACTTGAGGCCTTGGTTTATGAGGCCCCACATAAAATCACCGCAAACGTCGCACCACTTCAAGGATTTAAAGGTACGCACCTTTTTTTTGGTAAAAGGAAAAATATAACAATAATTTGAATTTATTTTATAAAAACAGTTTATTGAGAGAAAAATTTAAGGCCAAAATCTAAATACGTTTTATTTTTGTCTCTACGAATGGAGGACTCGAAGTTCTTATTTTATAATAATCGCGCACAAAGAACTCAGCTTTATCAATATATTAATCATTGAGTTTATTAGTTAAATCTTGATATTTACTGGCGAAATTGATATCTGGGTAGCATTCCTACTTATTGTCTGATGACTTAATATTTATAAATTTATCAATCAATTTTGGCCAGGGTTAGCAAGTCAGTCAATTGACCAGTCAAATGATTAGATTTTGTTGAACAGGAGAAAATGGTCAAATATTCTATAAGATCTGAATATAAAAATATGTTGGTAACAGATCCCCTACACGTAGGCCGGGTTTGGGTCAGTTAAAAAATCGATCCGGGCCGGGATTTTACCATCCGATCCGGGATCTAACCCAACAAAATGTGACTGGACTCTTCTTTTATAAAAATTTCTTATGTTTTATTTTTTATCTATTAAATTATTCAAATTATCGATCGAATAGAATGAGGTATGTAATAATATTTTGTAAAAAAAAAGAGGAAAAAACTTTCAAGTAATTTTTATGTCTAAAAAATTTATTGGTAAAAATTTTTTTATTTGACGAACGGTAAGTTGGGACATGTGTAACAAATGATATTAACATACAGACAGACTGATCATTCGTCGGTCTAGGCATTATTAATATATCATTGGTTATATTTGTATCTTAATGTCATTAGCAGATAAGAAAAAAAATAAAATACAGAGAATTAGAATCGAATCTTTCTGTTCTATATTATTCCTTACATTCCTAAAGGATAGATCTCAAGAGGGAGAAAAAAATGACATACATTCGGCGTATTAAAAATGAAGTGGGTAAAAAAAATTATAATAAAATAAATAAACTTTAAAATGATGCATCTTGGGTTGACTAGATGTGCCGAACAAAGCGTTACTCTCGGTGTCCTAATAATAATAGTTTATAAATATTTAACAGTTTATAAAAATAAAATATAATCACGATTATTTAATTAAATTTTCATATTTTGTTTTTGTTATAAAGCCAATTTATTCCACATAAGCACTCTTACTGAAAGAAATATTCGGTAGCTTATATTTGTCGCATTGGGATCAATGATATATATAATATATATATAGTACTAGATTGATGATTACGTAATTAAAAGTGTCCATGTATAGGAGTCAGTGTAACCCCATTTTGTGGTTTGCACTTCGACTTTGTCTTTATTTATAATTATTTTAATGCACATTAATGTCATTTCATTGATGTGCAAACCACAAAATGGCGTTACAGCTGACTCTTATATATGGGCAGCAGTAAATGAATGAATCGCCAATCTAGTAATGTATGTATATACATCATTGATTGGGATATATAATTTATGGAAATTCGGAATCTCTCGATTTTACATCATTTACTGAGCGCGGTTTTTAATTTAAAAAAAAAATCTGATTTGACCGAAAATGTATTTCATAACATGAATTTCTACACATACTGGGATATAGTGACATTCAATGCGGTCTTATCAGTCTTAGGCCGGGACCTGACCAATCTTTTCCCGAGGACTTCAAAATTTGCCTTTACTACTCAATTCATATAAATTTTTTCTTAAAATAGTTATTTTAGTGGTTTGTGAGTGTTTCTTAAAAGTTTGCCAAAAAAAATTTTAACTTTTAAATTAAAAATTTGAATTATTTATTATATTTATACATATTTAATTTTTGATATTTTTAAACATTAAAACACTTTTATATTTAATAAAATGATAAATTAAAACAAGAATTAAAATTAGGTAAAAATGGAAATATTTGGACCACGGTCTGAGCCGGTCTTTTTTTGAGGACCGTAGTCCGGTCCGTGCGTATCGACCGGAATACATTTCCAAATAAATCGGATTTTAAAAATTCAAAAACCGCGTCATTCATTAAACAATGATTTAAAATCGAGATTCCAAATCTCAATACAGCTTATTTAATCAATTTTAAAAAAATCTTAACCGAAATATAGTGATTTATAAAAAAAAAAGGAGATAAAATATTTTGACGATAAATTTCGGTAGTAATCTTCGTTTTCTTTTTAAAAAAAATTAAATATTTTATCCGCGCAAAAATTTTTTTTGACATTGAGTTATCTTTAAAATTCACAGAGAACCGTTCCAGAACCGGTTCTAACAAATTGCAAATAATTTGTAATATATTATATTGTTTAACCGGAAGGAGAACCGTGTCAAATTTAAAAACCGGAAAAATATTCATAACCGGAAGTACAACCCTTTTTAGTCCAGGTTACAAACTCGTATTTATGCCTGCATAAAATGAGGAAAAACTCCAAATAATAGAAAATAAAATCATATATCTATAATGGGTAAATAAATGAATATTTTTAATTTTCTTATAAAAAAAAAATAATATACTTCTTCGGAGATGGAAGAATGCAACGTGTTAGATGAAGAAGACACCGGGCTCTCGGGTTTAAGCGTTATAATTGTATAACTCGAATCGCCGTTATCAACGGTTCCCTGGTTTGCAACGTTCTTGAGGTTGACCTTGGTGTAAAAATCTTTGAATGTAACGTCGCCGTGAGATTTACTGGGCGCGAGGGGAGAAGATGCCATCGAATGCCTCAATGAACTAGGTCTGAGGCAAGGGGAATACTCCACTTGGTTCTGGAGATTTGCGGGATTCTGTAAATCATCTCGAGGAATGAGGGCGTTGGTTTTCACCTCATTTTTGACGGCCACGTAATCTGATTTATCGCTGAAAGCGTACTTACTCTTGGCGGTCTCTTGTTTGGGCGAATAGTAGTGGCCGGATGCGATTCTATTTTTGGTGTTTGAATCGAGATTCTTATTTTTATCATCGAGCAAGGACTCCTTAAATTGGCACGTGTTATCACCGCTCGAATGATAATGGTCGCTGTAAATGCTCGATTTATCGCAGTGTTCATTGTAGGTGATGACATTTATTTTGGAACCATTATTTACGAAATTTTTAAAATGACCAAAATTTTCGTACTCGTAATCCTTGTGGATAGGTAATGGGTAAACAGCATTCCTATTATAACGCGTATTAAATATGTCGACTATGGCGGATGTGCGAACCCTCCTCGGATTAGATTGTTTGGTCGACAACTTGAGGGGCGTGGAATAGTGTTGAGTGGAAGAAGGCTCAACTCCAGCTAGTAAAAAAAAATTTTTTTTGATAGTCAAATTCTGTGTTAAATTTTAAGCTGTTTTATGATAATAATTTTTGATTTGCCAATTCTAATTTAAGTTCCATACAATATGTATCATGAAACAATCATAATTTATCATTCTTTTCTTATAAAGTATTAACAATAAAAAAATTAATTATACCTATACCAAAAGAAGAAGGCTTGACCAATCTAAGGGACGAGGTCCCTACAGGTGTAGAATTTCGGAATATAGAATTTCCCGATATTCTAGTATCTGAAATTCTAGTAGGTAATGAGTCCTTATGCCTGATAGACGGGCCTTTTCGTAAAACAACTTTCTCGTCGCTCACGTCTTGCAAATTCTCGTATATGGGAAGGGAAATAAGTTCATTTTTGTATTTGCGAGCTTTACTGTGGCGTGATTCGTCGTGGTTATGAATATCGTTGCAGGGAAGGGTATTGTTACAATTTTTGACATCCAATTTAAGCGGGCTCTTTTGGGTCCAATTATTGGTGATAGGAATGGTGACCCTTTTATCATAAAGATGATAGGTATGTACAATATTATTATTAACGACGGCAAAATTATCGCGGATCTGGTTAGCTTTGTGAGTTCCATCTTTATCATATAACCGGTTAACAATCCCATTTTTACCGTGAATCTCACCTTTGGTGCATACGTTGTGATTGATGTTCTCGTAAAGTCGGCCATCTTTCTCTCCTCCATCTTTTAAGTCTCTATCACATGATTTCAATGGTAATGATATTCCGTGGTGGATGGACCGAATTTCATAACCTGGCTTATCGAAAGACTCGGCCTTTATATTGCATAGATCGTTGGCGTATAGATGCGTATCGCTAGCGTGAATTGATGAAATACCTTGCAAATGTTTGGTCACAATCTTGCTAGATTGATGATTAGGATTCATCATGTATTTATTTTCATTGTATGACTCCCCTTTCATGCGAGACTCGTTGTTAAAACCATTTTTTGTGATCACCTTGGTGATAAAGTAAACATAAACATGGAAAATTAATTTTTGAGATATATATAAATAGTTTAAATTCTTGTCATGCTTCATATTTAAAACCTATTAATTGAGTACATAAATTAATATTTAAAAAAAAGGGTTTGAATTGAGGTATATTAAATTAATAATAAGGTGATTTTGATAATTATAATACAAAGTCATGTTTTCTTCTTATCCTATTTAAAGGCCTGCATAAAAGTTTTGCTATCAAACCCAGTCCAGGCCAAAGCAAAAATTAACTTTCAGGCCCATTAAAAAATTAAAATTTAGGCATGGTGAGCTAAAATTATGGCCTAAAAAGAATGATATAATAAAATATTCAAGGTCCCGACAAATTTATCATAATAATGCCAAAACAACGCCAGTCACTTATATAGTTATAAACTTGGTTTAGAAATTCATATAAGAATAAAAATTTATGATATTAATTATTACTTACATATTAAAATGCAAATAAAAATGAGAAGATATAAAATGTTAATAATATTAATGATATTTGGCGGAAAATATAGAAAATATGAATACTCCAGTCCAGGCATGTAAAAGTTTAATTTATAAAAAAAAAATATTTCAATATTGTTAATACATTCGATTAGATTTATTTTAAATATGTATAAATATGAATTCAAAGAATTTTAAATAAATAAAGCTTAAACCCATTATAAAATTTTTTCAATCATAATTGGACCCCTAAATCTGTGAAAAAATTGAAATATAAGCCCGACCCATGCAAGCCTCTATCATGTTAATTTTAGACAACCTCCGATACATCCATCTTGCCGCCCATCATCGTAACATCGCCATCGCGTGACATCACTTGATTGACCAATAGTGAGGAGACGTTGAGGTAGGATCTGGCTCGCGATTCCACGTGCATGGTTACTAGACCGTCCGCCACGAGCGTACGCAAAGAACGAACCCGTTTGTCCGGGCGAACAAAATGGCGCGCACCGTCGAAATATAACTTGTAGTGTCTATCGACAGAATCGTACCTGCGGCGTATATTTTTTTATCGTTTTAAATATGGCGAAAAAGAGTGAAAGAAATATTAAGGTGCGCAATCATGTAGAATATCGAGGAGGTCGTGATTAATGTCCAGCTCCTAATATGTCAATAAAATAGTTGGAATGATTTCTACAGGTCTGAAAAACTCAACTTGAAACTCCGGGGTAAGTTCTGGTTAATGTAATAAATTTTATGTCAGGGTTGGGTCAAATACTTGTCTTAGAGATCTCATGACGACTAATAAAATGTGCTAAGATATAGTTCAAAAATTCTTCGAGATTATCGGCATAGGCCAAGTATAGATAATTAATTTTGATTAATTTCGCGTCTCATTCTCTAAAAAAACGAATAAAATATTATTCCTTTTTTATGAAGTGAAAATTGGCTTTTCTTTAAAATTTCGTTAGACTATTCTTGATAAGTCTAACAGTGTTTCAAAAAAAAAATGTAAATTTTGTAGAAAAAAAATTGGACGTTGATGATAATCACGAGTGATATCAGGCCGATACGTCACTCCTAGTGATTGTCAATTCGCTGGTCAAACCAAACGAACCCATCTCGAATTTGAATATTCGAAGTCAAGTTAGATTTTCACAATTCAATTCTCCAAATTAATTGGGCCATTTGACCTAGCAATAAACAATACTACATATCGGTATCTGTAGAGTAAAACGAAATGTTATCAGTGCACCGTACACCTCCGTATGATAAATATTTGCAATGTAATTGATTGTTTTTCTTATAAAATTTCTCGTAATATGAGTAGGACAATCTTAATGTAAAAAAAATATATAATAAACTTTCTGCACTAAATGATTAATATTTTTTGCCATCAGGTCATTCTACCATGGGGATAGGGGGGTATGAGGCATCGTCTTTGCAATTGGAGGGGAGTGGGTTGATTTGCTACCCATTTTCTTGCTTAATTTAATTTAGAGCTTCTTTTTTTTTTAAACTAATAATAATTTTTGATTTGGAATACTTTTTTTGGTAAAGGGGTTGGATAGGTAGGGTCGTCATTAGCTTAGGTTAGAGATCCGCAAAACCAGACCTCCCGAAAACCTGGGCAGGGCAATTCGTACATAAAAAATCATGCAGGGTCTCTGAAATCTAATTTTTTGTAAAACTTTAATATGCCAACCTGAACATTAAAATTAAAAAATTTGATTAATACTATTTGAAAATAAATTACAATATGCTTACATCTTTCAAATGAGCTGTATAACTAAAATACGAAATCTATACCTAAAACGGTTTTTTTAGAAAGAAATATATACCTAAAAAGTGAGATATAAGAGCCTTAATTGGCATTGGGAAAGAATTTAAAGGTATTAAAAATTTTTTGCAAAATTTAATGAACCAGCAGGCCTGGTATTTTATAAAATTTTGAAGGGCCAGGAGCAAATTTTTAAACAAATTATAAAGGACTAAACTGGACCACTTGTGCAAAAATTCTTAACTGGCCAAAATGGGACAGGCTTTGCAGATCACTAAGGTGCCATGTATAAGTTCCTGATTTGACTATAGAATTTAGATCAAGAGAGCTTGGCCTATTAATTTTTTGATGTGACTATTGCATACATGAGATGAAGGATAGGGAAAGGTCCAAATATTAATGAGGGGGTATTTATTCTCTGATTAATCTCTAATCTCATTCAACTCTTATGAATCTGGATTAATAACTTATCAACGAAAATTTTGTTTTATTGAATTTATTATTATACACCAGAAAATATACTCAATGTTTCTCAAAAATAAAATAGAATAAAATAATCTTTTTAACAAAAATATGTATGTATATATATTAATTATTTTTCTCTATAAACAAACACAATCAAAAATAAAATAATATATCTTTCAAAAGCCATGATAAATATATATATATAAATTTTAACAGTGATCCATAAAAATTTTAGCCTGGTTTAAAAAAAAATCATTTTACATAGATCACCTAGTCAGGCCCAATTTCTTTTAGTTCAATTTATAATTATTTATGAAAGAAAAATCATAAATTAATATCATGAGAGGTAAAAAAATATTAAAAAATTATGTGGCTTAATCTCAAAAAATCTTGCCCAAGTTTTTCAGCCAAAAAAAATGAGCCAAGCATTTGAGACTTGTGGCTGGCCTATTTAAATGTTTAATATTCAATATATATTGAAAGCCATTATTTGAGTATAGTGAGATGAGTGAGGAATTGGATAGAGTGGGAAATATTAATAGTGAGGTGAGTAATTTAAAATAAGAGCTTATAAATAATTGAATAATAACTGGGATTTATGGATGGTTAAGTAAAATGGATGAAATATAGGATTAAAAAATATGTTTTTATTATGAAAAATTTATTTAATTAAAAATATCTTGATATAAATTGAGTAGTGTTGTTAAATGGCTTGTTTTGAATTTTTAAAAACGGCTAACTCAATATTTCATCCAGATTAATATTACGCAAGCCTGAAGATTTTGTTTGTAGAAGGAACAAAGGTTTGGACATCTATTAGAGAAATCTTGAGAGGCAATATTTTTCTGCCTATAATATTGAGTTAGCCGTTTATAAAAACCAGCTCGAAACGAGCCGTTTAACAACACTAAAATTGAGCATTTGATAAATATAATTTACCGCAAACATAGAGTGTAAGTACCAGGAAATCTTTCACTTTCTCTTACCAAATAACTGCCTTCTCCGTTAAGACAGAGCAATTTATTTGCATCATTTCTTGACAACTTTCCATGAAATCTATATCAATATGTATAAATATTTTATACTATTGTCAATAATTTAATATAAAATTTCAACGTGATAATAATAATGTTTAAATTGAATATTTGCATAATAATAATAAAAATATGTATAAATTATTCCTACTCTAGTTCATAGTAGTTGGGTTTGTCAATAGCCTAAATAATATATTTTTTTAAAAAATCAATTAATATATTACATATTAAAGTAATAATTAAAATTAATAGTTCAAGTATCTTACCAATGTTTGGCATGATATAATTTTAGGTTTAGGGGCTTGTAATTGTAATGTGTATACTATAATACAATTAGAAATATAATGTATCTTAATAATTACGATATGTTTTCCATAAGTTTTGTATTTCAGAAGTCATCCTCCTTCTTATAATTCCCCTTCATTGTGCAGGCAAACTTTTATAAATTATTGAACTTAATCATGTGTAAAAAACCAATTTACAATCCTCTAGAAAACTCCAAATATATATTCCTATATCGTATTTCATAAATTTTTTCAATTCACTTTATTATTTATAAATTTTTATAACTATTATTTCAAAAATAAGAGATAACAATCATCGAAAATGAACATTTTATAAATAATACTATAATCCTTATTATTTTTTGTAAAAATATTAAAAATCAAAAAAATATATGATAATTGATTCCAGATAATTATGAATGCTGATATAATTCAATGTTTAGACTTAAGGCACATTAGCCTATTTTATGTAAAGCTTTTTATTTAGTTTCCCCTTATGTTTCCCTACCATACATTCTCTTTCTAGATAGTTTTTGTTTTTTTTTATAGGTGCTTAATATCAAAATTCATGAGAATGGGAATGTTTGGAATAAACAGATTCTGTAAGTCTAAATATTTGTTTCTTATCTAAACTGACATATGAGAATTATTAAAGAGGATAGCTAGATTTCGCTGAATAGAATACCTGGGCAAGGTCATTTACTCAGGGTATGAGGTAATATCATTGGACCATATATTAATATCGGGAAATGAATGTTATGTTTAAAAAATTTACATTTCTATGAAACATTTCTATTGAAAAATAGCAATTAATATCCTGAGAGTCCCTGGATGGATACGCAATCAGATAAGAATAAATCTAGAGATATTTAATCTGGATAATATTTATCATATGATCATTGGAGAGCATATAGTGACACTCTCCTACCTATTAGAGTAAACATATAGCAATATTATTATCTGACAATTTTTCCCTATTTTCTTATTCTTTAAATTATAACTTCTTTTTTAAATAAGGAAAAAAAATTGCCCTAAAGGTTTAATGAGAAATATCATTTAAAAAAACGTTATTAGGACAGAAATGTCCCTGACAAAAGTATTCCGGATAAAAAGACACTGAAAACATAAATAGGCCCGAACAAATAAACAATAAAAAAAACCCAATTTTAATTATTTTTTTTAAACACTGGGGATAGGAAAATTTTTTTGAGAAATATGATCAATTATTTTACATGTATCCCTCCCCCCGCCCTCCTCCAAAATTTAACATTTTCCATTTTTTTAAACTAACCTCGTATACAAGTGTAGGGTAAGGTCGTATAAAATATAATATTAATTTTGTAAAAAAAATTTTTTTATAAGTTCCAATTTATTTATATTAAAGGCGTGTCAGGTATCATTTTTTCTTAGGTATAGTTAATAGCCTATTTATTTTGGCTAAAACTAAGCATGAGTCGATATATATTAGCCAGGTTAGCCAAAATAAATTATCTCCGACCTAAACCAGTAAATATCGAGTAGGGATAAGCTTAAGCCAATTTTAATTGGCCAAAGCTACGTTAAGTTGATTTTGATAGCTAAAGCTAAGCCCAAGCTGATTTTGATTAGCTAAGGCTTATCTTAAGCTGATTTTAAATAGTGGCTACGCTTAAGTCAATTTTGATTGGCTAAAGTTAAGCTTAAGCCGATTTAAATAGCGGCTACGATTGTCAATTTTGATTTGCTAAGGTTGAGCTTAAGCCTATTTGATTAGCTAGGGGTAGGTTAAAGCCTATTTTGATTGCCTAAGATTACGCCTTTTATGATTGGCTCTAAGCGTAAGGTTATTTTAATTGGCTAAAGCTGATTTAATTGATACCGCTCTGTTTTAGTGTAAATTTTATCTATAATATATATAAAAGTCGTGTCGCACTCACAGATTCACAATTTATAATATATAATTAAAAAATCGTGAACTTTGAAAAGCATCTGTAGCCTAATCGGCAAGAGCGTCGCTTACAAATTTGAAGGCTTTTTGTTCGATCCCAGCATAGATCATTTTTATTATCCAACTTGGTATTTTTTTTTCTTAATATAACTTGGAGGTTCCGTCCTTTGGGATGAGAATTAACTAAATTCTCATTGAGCCTGAAAATGTTGTCATTTGCAGACCTCTGGTGGTAAATATATGGGAAAATAAATATGGCAGACATTTATAAATGGATTCTTTGGCAAAGGTAAAATCTATTATTATCTGCTGGTTCCGATGTCGTCCTGACTAAAGGTCTGCAATGGGCAAGTTTTGGTGCACCTGCCTGCTCATTTATTAAAAATTTTGTTTAACTTGCGTGTCCAATGTTTAAAAATTATTATATTGATTGATTTGGCTATTTATGTATTATTTTTATGTTTTTTACTTAAACTATAAATTAAGAAATAAAAAAATAATATCTAATAATAATTAGAAGTCAGTTTCTCATTTTGCCTGTAATATATTTCAAATTCACCTGCCCATTGTTTTAAATATATTTTTTAACCCTCCCACGCACCAACTCAATATTTTTCAGTCTATCCACAGAATAGGCGAGTTTAAGTTAGCCCAAACCTTTATTTAGCAAGAATAAATTTTTTAGGATTTAAATTGAAAAAGAATGTATAAAAATTTATTTAGGAATATTTTTAATTGAGCACATAATAACAATTTTTACAGATTTTATGAAATTAATGTAATGAAAATTTATATTTCCCGTAATATATTTATAATGAAGGTAAAAATATGTATCATTTGCACAGCCTGCCCTAGATTTTTTTTTAAAAAAATTTTTGGCATGACCCTGTCTGGAATTTTTTTAAAATATATTATATTTATTTTCAATATTTTTAGATAATAATGGTTATTTAAAATATATAGCTCGTCCTGGGTATATTTAAAATGTTTAGGCCCGACCCGGGTATATTTAAAAAAAATTAAAATATGGCCTAACCCCTGTAACTGTATTAAAATACATTTTCTTATAATAAAGATCTTGAAGAATGATCCATATCATGAGAAGATGCAACTTATTCAAAACTTGGATAACAATTTACCAAGAAGTGCTTAGTGGCTTTCATTGTTAATAAAAAACCCTTAAAGAAGGATCCATTCCCAAAATCTAATAAATATTTGCATTTTATATGATTACTAGCTGATGTTCCACAAGAATGACAAGGTATTAATATTTTCCTTAATTTGATGATTATATAAATCATAAATAAGCCTATATGAGGTGTGAATCAGAAATTTACATTATTTTAAAGAGACAGTTCCAAAATTTTTTTATTCTTATAATATGTTAATGAAGTATATATATACTTATTGCATTCAAAACAAATATTTGAAATATGTTTGAATTACTTTTTAATTATATTAATTTCCTTATTTTAATTTTTATTATTTATGTACTCAATATAAAATTTAATTCTGCTAGATGAGGGTTTTGTATATTGTTATCATAGATACAGATTTTGGATTTGGACTTATTAAGAATGACTTTTAAAATTGGCTTCAAGAAATTGGAAACCAATGATTTTAGGAAGTGCATCACAGATTGTTCCATCATCAAGATACCAAAAATTTATATCCAAATCAAATTTAAATTTAAGATAATATATGAGGTTAAATAATCTGATTTTGTTTGTTATACCTTATAATATGATTTGGTTTGTTATACCTTTCGGTGAAAATTTTATATTAACATTTTTTTATATCTTATTAACATAACATTTTTTTGATATCAATTTGTATTTTTATTTTACATAATTGGTTATTTTTTTATTTTTTAAAAAAGATATAAAAGGAAAATTGTTTTTGGTTAAAAGACAAAATAAAAAAAATGTTATTTATATATGAAAAATAAAATGTAATTTATAATAATAAAATAAAATTCTGTCTAAATACAACATGGTAATAACATATAATAGAGTACCTTATCCAAATTCTTCATGGAGGCCAAATTACGTCCGAACTTCACGATGGATGCTTTGAATAATTCCACATATATGACTAAATTCGTCATGCTGGATTTCCCTAAATTAGTAACGATGACGGCTCTTACATAGGGAAATTGCAAAATTTCTTTGACACTAGCAAGATCTCAAACGGAGAAAAGGCCGCGTTTTTTCTCCGAAGTCTTCAAGATGACACATTTAATAACATTGGAGCTATTGGCACGGAGGCAGACTTCCAGGACCCAATCGCTCTTCCTGGCATATTCAAGTTACAACATCCGTCGAAGACTGAGAACGCTAAACTCTCATTATTTTATGCTGCCATTCAAGGCAAGGATGAGACGTTCTCGGCTTGGAGCACACGCGTAGTAAGACTCAATAAAGAATGCAAATTCAATGGCATTCAGCTCATTATTGAGAAAGTGATAGTTGCTTCGAATTCCAAAGATGTCAGGAAAGCGGTCAGGATCTCTATGACTATAAATGACATTTACAATCTAGGTCTAGAGGAATACATCACGGAGCCAAGATGAAAGTTGAAGCCATTCATTTGAATGAATCACCTGGAGTACAAGAGGTTAATCACATGGGCAGAGTCAAAAATAGCTACGTAACCACAAAGCCCATTTAGGACTCTCATGCACATGGTAAATCTCTTACAAAGTGTTGCATGTGCGCTATTATATATTTAAATACTTAAATAATTTATATTTAAAATTCAGTTAAACTATTATATATTTAAATACTTAAATAATTTATATTTAAAGTTCAGTGTAATTTATTTGTATATCTCAAGGCAACAAAATATATATATATATATTAATATATATTTTCATTCTGTCATCACTTGTTTTTCTTTCATGATAATAACTTGTTGTTTTCTTATTTTTAAAATAAATTATAAAAACATATTGGGAATTCCTCCGTAACTTATTTAATACAATCACACACTTTATTCTATTCTTATATTTATATTATACATTACAAAGCAACCCCAGTTCATCGATGACAATCGCCACGGACAACATTTCGATGAACGTTACGATGTACGCTGCGACTACTGCTGCGACAATGATGAACGTTACACACTACGACAACGGCCACGACAAACGATTCGACAGACGGCACGGCAACTTCCACGACAATCGTTTTGATCAAAGCTACGATAATTGTCACTATAACCGCAACCGTTTCGACAATCGCAACGATAACTAATACGACGATCGATA